TTTCTCCACACACTCAGCAATGAGGAGGATGTGACTGCGGTGACGGACAGCAGTGGAAACACGCTGCGCGTGCGCAGAGACACTAACAGGATGCCTGTACGTGTGGTTGCTCCCGACAATCAGGTGAGTCCTGAGTAGCCTTGTTAGCAGATTACGAGCGTGTATCCTTGATCACCTGTGATCCTGTGTGTGTGTTTAGGTCATTTGGCTGACCATTGGGACTAATGGAGGTCTGAAGACTCTCACAGCTCAGGGTCAGGAACTGGTCTTGTTTACTTACCATGGGAACAGTGGCTTGTTGGCTACCAAGAGTATCCAAATTGGCTGGACTACCTTCTATGAGTGAGCCACTTTTTGGATTTCTAGTTGAATTCTGGTCAATGGACAGATTAATTTAATTAATGAAATAAAGTCTGATTGTTATGTCTTGAGTTTATATCTTGATGTAACCTTTAAATTTCTCTACTTTTTGCTGGGCTGTCAGTGAGTCTGAGTTTTTATCTGTGGATCCTAACGTCTGTTTCTTCCTGTATCCTCACCATCCTTGTAGCTATGACAGTGAGGGTCGTTTGACTAATGTGACCTTCCCTACTGGGGTGGTAACCAGTCTCCATGGCGACATGTCGTCAGGGGCTGTTGCTGTGGACATTGAGACGTCAGGGAGGGATGAGGACGTTGCCATAACAACCAACCTATCATCAATAGACTCCTTCTACACTCTGGTGCAAGGTAAGAAGCTAATGCAGGTGGCCTCGTGTGTGTGAAGCATACTGAAAGCTTCAGTCCGAGCTGGAGTAAGAATATGGTCTTTATTTATTATTAAATCAGTGCACGGTTCACAGTAAATTCAATTAGTTACTCACAGTTCAATTTCTCATCACTTCTCATAGGAAGGCTTCACACATTGTGCAGTTTCCACACTTTCCCTCATCGATCAGTATCAGGAAGCAGTGACTAGCCTGGATCCTTGGCCACAACCACATGCACACAATACAGCGTAGTGTCCATGTGGTTGCGTCAAATGTACATACCCGCATCTGACATCCTGTCAAAGCTTTGCAGTGCAGTTATATCAGCAGCTTGTATTAGTTGTGTAAAGTTTATTTTAAGAAAAGATCTGACATGAGGAAGTGTACAAGCTGCGGATGGATCTGTAATCCCATCTGCTCTAATAATCCTAGATTTAGGAACTGCAAAAGGATCCTCGTCGTCCTTCGTGTCAAACTTTCTACCCTAAACGCTGGGGGGGGGGAGTAATTTGGTGTTGTTCAATCTGAACTAACGAGCCGTTTGAAGTGAGGCAGGCAATGATTTACTTCAGAGTGAGCTGTGCATGGCCACGCACAAGTATTGATCGCAACATGAGTTATTCAGAGCAGTTGACAAGTGTAGCGTTTCACTCCATCACTTCATTCGTTTTCTAGCTGTGAGCTAGAAAAATGAAAACACGTTAGACGGACGGCTGACACGGTAAACAACACGAGACAGGAGTAGAGAGACCGGATTAAGAGTACTTAGTGGGAATGGAGAATGAGCTGTAACCCAGGGGCTGTTTCAGAGATGGTCTGTGAGGACTCTCTTGCATGCACAGGCCTTTAGTCCTGTGAAAGGTCAAGGAGGATGTAATTAAAAGAGGCTGGGAGATGTTAATACACGCTCTGTGCTCCATTAGCAGGCTCAAACGCTGCCCTCTCGGTTTCTCCCCTTACATTTAGCACTTCGTCTCCCTCTTTGTCTTTACGCTTCGCTGTCTTGTTTTTGTCTCTTTCTCCTTCACCCTCAGGTCAGCTAAGAACACTGCCTATATGAATTAATGCCTTGGAAAGTATCCAATAAAGAAATGGTTCATTTATTATGTGATTTCCTTTTAAACAGACCAGCTTCGTAACAGCTACCAGGTGGGGAACGACCACTCGCTGAGGGTGATCTATGCGAACGGGATGGACACGCACTACCAGACAGAGCCTCATATTCTGGCAGGTGTGTTTTAAACATGGTGCCTTCACTTTATATATACGAGAGGATCGTAAGCTGTCTTTATTTTGACTTATATGTATATGTGGCGTGTGGAAAGCACTGGTTTGGGACCATCTACACTCTGTCTCTGTCCTGTTGCTGCCTTTTCTTTGTGATTCTGATCTGACTGCAGCTAAACACCTGCAGAAAGAGCTGTCAGAATATTAGAGTTAAACAAAACTCAAACTAACTAAAACTTGACGTAAAAACATTTTAAACGATTGAAACAATTTTGTAAACTTGGAAAACTAAATTCTATTAAATATAAAAGTTTTAGAAATGTTATCAGCACTTCACCGTCAGCCTGCTGAGGCTTTGACATGTTAACAAGACTGTAAGTTCCTGTGAGGATTTTCATAACTGCCACTTATGTGACAATAATATTTAAAAAGACTAAAACGAAACATTTCCAACAATAAAAACTAATCAGTAAATATTAAACTGCAGTGGTGCAGTGTTTGTTTCACGTGTTAGGATTTGATTTGCACTGAGAGTAGATTTTAATCCAACCAGGATTTTCAGATAAAAACTGAAGGAGAATTGGGTTTTTTTGTTTTGTTTTGGGGTTTTTTGCCTGTCCCATTTGGTTCTTTAGCCGTCAGAATTGTTGTCTAAAGACCAACAAGGATACCCAATGGATTTATTTTGCCAAATGGATCATCATGGCATTGCCGTATTGGTCCATTTGATCGACCTTTGTTTTTATTATTTATTTT